CGACTTTTCAACTTCATGTCGCCGCTACAGGTGTTTAAGTCCTGCGCACGCCACTCGAGCCTTGAGTGTAACGACGAAGGTGTTTCTGATTTGTATGATAATATTCCTTTCATTTTCGTAGGTTCTTTTACTAGCTTTTTCGCAGTGGAAAGTGCTATGCTGTCAAATACGGATGTAAGTGTTGCTTTTTTGCTCAAATTTGTCTTACAAGTTTTAAAGCCTAGGGTCTTTCAAAACTATCCGAGCGCTACATTTTCATCTCAAGATTGAATGCTTAGGTTCAGCTCGCATAACTTTTCGGTAAATGCTCCGCTGTACCTTTTTCTAAAGTGAAGTATTGACGTGTTGACGTATTGACTGAGTTACCATTCGCCATATACTTTCATTTTATTTCAGCTCTTGGTTAGCCTGACTGAAAATTGCTTGAGGCATAATGGACCAGTCCGACACTCGTATGTACCTCTACCTTAAATTGATGTGAACTTTGAAGAGATACGTGGTGTATCACAAACATTACAGGACATATCAAGTAATGTCCAGAAAATAAAACAGTTGGGTATGTTGTTCCTATCATTTTACTCGTTGGTTCTGTCCAGGCCAAGAATTGGAAAACCAAAATAAAAATATCAGTATAACGGGAAATTCAAAGGCTAAATCGGATCTACTGTACGTATTACTGGTTATTTTCTTTACCCGTTTTGAAGGAATCAGAAGGAAAAGGATGCCATTGCCCTAATCAAACTTACCGGAAATCAGTTTGCGGATCTTGCTTCTTATACAACACTGGATCATGTATGTCGGTATTCCAATTACGTTCAATGTTCTAGACGGCTAAAATCCAAGCGCAACTTTTAAAAGGTGATTTTCAACGCGCGCTTCAGCGTTTCCAACGAACACAAGCAGTGAGTTCATGTATTTCATCGAAATTTGTTCCTTATCAGTATAAATTCAGCCGATGCACTTGTCTTTTAACATACTACCAATGTGGATGCAGTATTTGGTGCATAGTCAGAAGAATCAGAATTAAAATAACTTGAATTGAAAAACAACTCCTAAAACACTCATTAGTGATTTTTATAAAATCATTGTTTGCGTAGTCTTGTTTCATTTACCCTACCGGTTGTAGATAGTGTCATACAGCACCCATGGATGGAACGACTACAAAGCGAGAGGCTGCTGATTGTTGGATCCGTGCGATCCGTGTGCGATCATATCCCAGAAATTATACCCCGTGGTTGGGTTGTTGGTTCTAATTTGAAATGGTGACTGACTAAGGCTAGGCGCAAATCCTTGATAACCGCGGTCGCCTACTAGATCACGTGGTCGACCTCCTTAGATTACGTTGGCTGAGGCATATACTGCGTGTTTTTGGAACCTCGGGATTAGCGTAGCTGACAATTAGAGGCACTGAGTGATATAGTGGACTGTCGTAAATAGTGTCGTTCGTGCATCTTCTAAATTTCTTCGGAACCTTAGTCTTCTTTAGTTCTTTATTTTCACTCCGCCTTCGAGTTAAACATTTGAATCTTCCGTTTGCTCCTTCATCAAAATGGGTAATCATAAGAGAACATCCGATATCGGCGCACGAAAGTGCATGGTTATTAGTTGTAAGAACTGAACTGAGCTGGAGTCGAAAGTTGATCATGTCGGTCCTTGCTGACGTATATAGGTTGTTGCTAGCGGGGATGAAAAAATGATGACCTGATCTCCAGAATTTTCACCTCATATACCTCATCTCTGTTATTTTTCAAGTAAGCGAAGCCATCATTGCTCACCAACTTTGTTTACACCGCAAGCATGAAGGACTTGTAAACTATCATCAAAATGGCTTTCATTCACGTCGTTCCGATAGCGGTCTACAAGCCCTGTTATCTCACTATTCGTCAGCTTCATTTGATAACTACAAAGGATCCACTTGATCTCGCTTGACATCTCAGCATCATTTGACCGTGTCTGGCATCAGGCAGTACTGTCGAAATTGCCCACGTTTTCGTTTTCTCTAGTACTTGTGTTGTGGACATCAGGCTTTCTTAGTACCTGCACCTTGTCTGTTAGAGTTGAGTGAAATCTTTCTCAGCACCCCCCGTGAATATCGGCATCCCTCATGGTTCTGTGCTTTCATTCACTCTATTCCTCCTTTTCATCGAAGATTTACCTTCCCTGATTTCTGATCCCATACATACATTCGTCTGTGACGCCACCATACTCTATTCTGTTTGTCATCCCCCTTGCGCTCTTTCGCTGCCAACATTAATCGGAATCATCTTGCCTTAAAACTTTTTTTCCGACACATAATGGGAACTACAATAAAAGAGAAAATCCCCATCGGCAAATAGAATACTGTTAAAAAGAGAGTAGGGGAACATTCACGTAAGATCCAGTTTATTGGTTCCGCGTCTGAAGAATGGAGGATTGTAAGTGGGGGAAAGACAGAAAGTGGGAGGGTGTTCCAGAACTTGGCAGTTCGGGGGAAAAAAGATTGGAGAAGAGAAGGGAACAGAAATCTTATAAGGATGACTAGGTGCCTGTGTACGGGATGGGCGGGTAAAAGTTGCAGGAAGAGGAACTACCGAGGCAAGTTCCGAAGAACAAAAAAACAAAGTAGTAACGGTAGATCAGGGATAATGAAGTAACTGCCAGACGATGGGCTAGTGACTGCAGACTGGATGTTAGGTAAGGATCGTTGATTAGTCGGACGGTCTTTCGTTGAACACGATCAAGGGAAAAAGAAGAAGACGAAGCCCCACCCACACGTGACTACAGTACTCATGAGCATGGCGGATTCCAACTTTATACAGTAGGAGAAGACAAGCTGGGGTGAAAAACGTCTGGTGCGAAATAAAAAAAACAACCTTGCGTGCAGCACGAGAAGCAACCTGAGCTATAAAACGGGATCAATATAAAGAAGAAGTAATAGGCAATGCAAGAGGGGAAACAGAGTCTGGGGAACGCAGTTGAGTCGATTCGAAAGATAACTGGGGAGGGTGAATGGTGTTTTAAAGAAATCGCAAGAAGAGAGGTTTTAGAACTATTGAATGAAACGTGATCTGCAATGTCCCAAGAGGAGATGTGTTCGAGATCGGAGTCCAGTGATATAATAACTGCACTACGGTCACCATCGATGTTGGTTTGGGTATGGCATCATCCAAATGGGCAGCCAAAAGACAGCAACCAAAACGGGCGCACGAATATACGTGGTTAATGGTTGTACAAACTGAAACTGAAACTTGGTCATGGCGAGTTGTGCTGTAGGAGAGGGAGCAGTGGATGGTGATGTCGTCAGCAAAAGAATGGATCGGGTTGACCGTTTTGGAAAGGAGATCATCGATGAATAGAAGAGGGTGGACGCAAGTACTGAACCAGCATTCGCAGGGAATGGCTGAGATTAAACCCCATGATCTCGGACGGAGATGGTTCGCTGACTGAGGGAACTTGATGTCCATGCTATGAGCGCCGGAGAGAACCCGATCATGGGTGATTTCGCCAGTAGACCTTCGTGCCAAACTCGGTCGAAGGCCTTTGAGATGTCAAGCGAGAGACCAAATGTGTTTCTCTGTTTATCGAGTGAAGCTGACCAGGATCGTGAGACAACAGCCAGTAGGTCACCGATGGAGCAACGCTGTCGGAAACCCTACTGGCGGTCTCTCAGTAGTCCTTCGCGTTCAAGGAATATGCGTAGCTGGTCAGAAATAATGGTTTCAAATGCTCTCTAAAAAGAGGTATGAGGGGATTGGGTTGGCAATTGGTGGGGTCAGAGAGGAATGGGAATAATCACCTTCTACCTGGGGTATATCTCCTCTGGCGGTTCCACGAGTCGTGTCCTTTTCATTGCTTCGAATAGTTCACTCCTGTTCATCTCTCTCATGTTTTAAGCTTTCTCCTACCATCTTTAGTTATACTTCAACGCACCGGTTCTACAGTCTCGTACTTTTTCTTGGGTGCTTCTCTTAGCTCTTTCCCACTATCTCACATTTCTCTACTCCTGTTCTCTAGTGATCTCAACATCCTTTTCTTGCTCCGCGCTAGAATCTTCACTCCCGCTGTCTCTGTTGTGCAAAAGTCAGATTTTCCCCATCCGGTAATGTAGAATGATGCTTCGTCTTCTTCTTTCGCTCTTCCTCTGCTAGGTTGTGTTGACATAAAGCAGTTCTACTTTCGAACCT